TTTTTTTTTGTTTTTGTTAAATGGATTAGCGTTCAGCTCTGTTGGCAAGCGGATCTTGCCTAACATGTGGCCGCATGAATGTCAGAGCCAGCGGAGAGGAGGCATCAGGAAAGCATGACTAAGGGAAGGGAAAAGGATGGAATTATCTCTTTTGCCAGTAGCAGTCTTGTCTTGGCTTATGTGTCCCCCCGCCCTCCGCCGCTCTGCCCCGTGAATCTACCTCTCAGGGTAAAAGTACCTGTTGCAGCTTGAGACACATTAACGCCTTGCTTCCCCAGAAAGGGAAAAATCTTGCTCCTCTTTTCCTCACTCCTCTGATGTTAGACGTGGTGATTGTCTAATCCTGCAGGGAACTGGTTTAACTCGTTGAATCAGCAGAAAGCTCAGCCTGGCAAAGAAAAGGGGATAGTGTTCTGCTGGCTTAGCGGGTCGAGTCGGCTCGGTAAGGCATCTGCCGAGGCTGGCAGAGCTGGTGCAGGCGAGGAGGGTGTCCTAATGCCTTGTACAAGAGCCGCAGTCTGGGTTCTCTTTGTAGTTCAAAGATGACAATAGGCACTATCCCTTTGTCTTACAACAAACATGGTGTTTGTCTCATAGAGCTGGAAGTTGCCACTGTTTTAGAATTCCTTCCAACCTCCTTCCCCTGTATTTTCAGCCCTCCCATGGGTAAGTGACATTTATTCTAACACTTCCCTTCAAGCCGGGCCTCTCCTTTGAGCCTAGATTTCCCTTGGCTTCATCTCCTTATCAGACAGGGAAATATTGCCACAGATCTACTGACGGTCTTTTCCATCAGCCAGAACTTTTTCTCCGAAGCTCCAACCAACAGCCTCTGATGCTGCTTCGGGAAGGCACTCTCCGCTCTCAGATGTGGGAACGCAAGCTCGGAAGCAAATTGCTATTTGAAAAACCACTATAGACAACAGGGAGTTAAAAAGATTATAGAAAGGTGGACTCACGTTTGTGCAAACCAGTTGGTTGTGTGCAGATAGAAGTAGTAAAATGCCCAAATTATATTTGATCGCGCTCAGGACAGCCACGGTACGTGTAAGTATGGTGCTGGCTGGGCACTGTCTCCATGCATGGAGCACAGAAATCCCGTGCTGTGTTTGCCCAGAAGTTTAAGCTTTCATCTTTGACAGCAGAAAGCCCAGCTGAGGAGGGACAAGAACATTTTCAGATGGTCCGAATGAAGAGGAGAGATCATGGGCAGGCAGGTGAGTCCACTCTTATGCCCATATGGCTCCTTCTTCATTTTTAAGGAGACGGAGCAGGACCAGCCCAAAGAATTAATGGAGGATAAAACGTACTCTAAAAATGTATCAGGAAAAAAGTTACATGAGAAATATATGACCTTAATAATGAGTGAGGAATCTAAAATGCCGTGGTGGTGTTAATATCTTTAACCACAAAATTATTACAGAGAAGATTAGTAGAATCGGGAAGTTCTTGGTATAAAAACGGCTGTTGGGAAAGCGTAGACAAGGGGTACTTGGAAAATGTAAATGCACAAGCACTGGGGTTATCACTTGAACGCAGTTTGGAGAGCTGAGGAACAGATTAAGCTATTACTTTTCAGAAACTACCTGGAATTACTTGTTTTTAATAAACGGCAGAGAAGATGCCGGACAATTAAGAAGAAACAAGCAGGACGTTGAAGTGCACCTGAAGGTCTCGGTTGCTTTTGTGCCCCGGCTCTACCTTCTGGGGCCATTCTCCGGTAGAGAGTGGACGAAATGCCCGAGTGTGTGAGCACTCTGAAGGGGATTTTCAAAAATACTTGTTCGTGATCAAACTGTTCCCGTTGAGTCCAGCTGAGAGGGCAGGCCAGCTCAGGTGGAGGCAGCAGGAGGGAAGGCGAGGAAGAGGAGAGCTCTTCCTCTTCTGGCTGCAGTGACTTAGGGAACCACAGCCTCGGTGTGTGATTGAATGGCTTTGAAAAATCCAGATCCCTACACAGTCAGAAGAAAGAGGTCAGGCGCGTGAGGGAGCTTCATTTGATGGAAATACAGTCTAGCCTGTGACGTGACTTGCGTGGGTAGTCCCGAATGTGAGCAGTCTCCCCCGTGCCGACGAGTGACATGACTGCAGTGGGTGAGTGAAGGGTAGGGGAGTGACAGGGACGCGGGAGGCAGAGCACGTGCGTTTTGGAACAGCTTTTGAATTTCTGTTTCACAAAGTCTAACTCGGAAGTCAAGTTCAGTTTGGCTTTGACGTGAGACCTGTTATATTGACTGAGAACTAACAGAAGGACTGCCAAAAAGACAAAAACCACAAAGGTTCTCTGCGGTCTCAGCACGCCCAGCCGCAGTTTCGTAGCCCTGTGATGAGAGGGTCCTGCCAGGTGGACGCGGGATCCCTCCTGCTCCGTCTCTGCTCCGTCTCCCTGGGACTAGTTGGTGTTATTGCAGGAGACCCGCGTAGGTTTGACGGGCCGCGTTACCCTCCAACACATTGACCAGTAGGAAATGGTACAGCCAGTGCGTTAAAGCAAATAGGAACGCGTCCCCATGCTTTGACAAGGCACGTAAGGGTATCTGGCTAGAATGGTGCTATGTTTTTTGGTAAGTGCTTTCCGCAGGTGGAAGATGCTCAGCGGGATTGCCACCCAGCAGCGCTCCCCTGTTATGCCGCGCAGCACGCGCCTGGGAGCTGCAGACTGAAGTCCAAATTAGGGGAGTTAATAAACAACAGAAACCCGTAAATATCTCGGCGGAGGAGCAGGCAGCCTGCTTTGGGCTGCAGA